TTTCTTTCCTCTTGCTACAGTAGGATTACATCTCCCAGTATAGCACTTACCCCAGACTCTGCTCTCAAGAGAACTTGAACTCAGACCGAAGAGAACTGAAAAGTGGGAGAGTGGGTTACAGGAGGAAGGACATTCTAGACAAGGGGACAGCAAGTGCATAGCTTCTGAGGCAGACGAGTAAGACCTGTCTGAGGAAGATGGACAAGGCTGGAGCAGAGTAGGCAAGGGAAGGAAGGTGATGTGACGTCAGATCAGTAGCCGGGTCAGATCATAGGGTGCCTCGCAGGGCAAGAGTAGAAGTGCTGGAGAGTTCTGTGCAACAAGATCTGACTTACATTTTAGTGGGACTGCAGGTTTGGGGCAAGGTGGAAGCAAGAAGACCTCTTAGGAGCTCCTGCTGCTACCGCTCAGTAAAGCTGCTAAGGGGCTGCCCAGGGTGCCAAAGGTATTCTTTCACTCCTGACCCCTCAACATCCTGAACATTACCCATCTCATCCCCATAGCCCACCCCAGACAAGCAGTCAGTCCCCTCTGCTGTGAGTGAGTTATTAAGGTAATCAGAGGCAGTAGCAGAGTGGTTACATGAACAAGCCCTGGATGGCTGGGGTTTTAGGTGGGTTCCACCACTTCTTAATTGTGTGATCTTGGAAAACTTCCTTTACTTCTTGTGCCTTGTGCCCTCATTTATAAGATAGGGATAACAATAGTTCCTGTCTCCTATTGGTTGCTGGAAATATTAAGTGACACAACACATGCAAAGTATCTGGAATATAGTATTAGCTTTTATTATCACTGCTAATCACTACAGGAACAGAGTGTAACAAAGTAATTTAAAAAGAGAGAGATTTCATTGTCATGGGAATTGTCTCCAGCTTATATTTAAAGGGCTCAGAGTTCTGCGCCACCCCAGCCCAGGCAGTCCTCAGAGGGGGAAGGCCAAATACTAGAACAAGTCACTGCGCTGCATGTGCCCTGGGTCCTAGCCCTGGGGGCCTGTCTGAATAGGATTCACTGGTACCTGAGATTGCTGTAGGTGGAAGATAAGTGTTTTTGTAAAGAAGGTTAGGCAAGCTTGGCAAAAATGTGAAAAAACAAACGAAGCCAAATCATCAGAAACTTCATCATTCCGGAAAATGCATCTCACAGTCCCAGTGGCTCTAATGGATCAGCCTCATTTGCCAAGTTGGCAAAACTGATGTGCTGGTCAAAGTAGACTTTGCTTCCTGCCTTCCACAAATGTGTGCCCAGCACTGGCTCATGCCAGAGCCCTGGGAAGCTCCTGGGAAACCTGTCTCTACTCCATAGGGGGTAGGGAGGACTGTGTGCCTATGTTCCCAGGGAAGCAGGGCCCCAGAGAGGAAAGGACAGCCTGGCTGAAAACAGGTGCTGGGTGTGAGCCTGCCCTCGAGGTACCCTTGCTGCTCCCTGCCATCCCCTTTGCATGTCTGCCCACTGGTTCTGCCCCCAGAGAACAGTCAGACTGAAGAAAAAGAGTTACATATGAACTCTGACTGGGATACTTGGTCACATCTTTGGCAGGGAAGGCTGCCTCAACCAGACAGAGGACCGTTCAGAGAGTGCAGTCTGCGATGAGATCACAGAGTCAGGGATTAGGAAGGGGAAGAAAAGTGTGGGGGTATGGAAGAAGAAGGGCCAGGAGCTGGAATGCTTGAAACTGACTGATGGGGTCACACGGGTTCATTACACAATCTTCTCTACTTTCAAAGATATTTATACTTTCCATAATAGTTCAAAAAAATTAGAAACAGGGACATAGCCTGGGCTTCAGTTCTAGTCTCCACTGCTACTGTCAGGACTGGAAACGTCTTATTGCACTCAACCCCCAAGCCTAAGGTGAATTTACATTCTTTGTAATCAGCATATGCTCCAATCACATTAGAGATCATTTTTGAAATGGAAGTATAGATACATGCAGAAAAGTCTCACATCATAAGGTCACAGCTTGATGTGTGTCCACAAACTGAGCACGCCCATGAGACCAGCACCCAGATTTGGAGGTAGAAAACTACCAGCCTCTGAGAGGTTCCTGGTGGCCCTCCCAGCCACCACCCACACACCGAGGGTCTCCATTAGCCTGGCTTCTCACAGCCTGGTTGACTCTGCCTGTTTTTGAACTTTACATAACAGAGTTTACACACCCTGTACTGTCTCTGCAAGCCTGGCAGTATTTTACAACCCCAAATATTATAACATGCTTTCTACTTCCTGGTAGGAGCCAACTCCCTAAGGCCAGCTTGCCGTAATCCCGAGAAAATGTTTGTCTGCTAAATAAACAGCCACGCTCTCCATGGTAACCATTGGGTAACTGAGGAAAATGTGACCACAGTCGTCCAAATATGGAGGGAAAGGAGGTACAGGGGGGAGGGTCATAGTCTTGGCCTCACTAGGACGCCTTCAAATGCTCTCAACTCAGCCTTTTAAATCCTTACATTTGTAGAAGTACAACATTCTAAAACAATAAAAAATACAAATGTGTCAGTCTGATTTCAGTGTGGAAGGACTGAGCTGCTCTGAATTCTAGGAAGCCGAGGAATTTGCTCCTCATGTACCTGAACTGTTCTTATTTTACCTGGTTTCTCAGAGAGCAGATTCAGATTTCTCTATGTCACCTACAGGAAGAGCACAGTGAACTCAAGGCCCACAAGGGCGCAGCACTGCAGCCCACTCTGTCTTGGGAACTGTCAGCCTCTAAAAACCAAGTGGCCTTGACCCTGGTCACCAGTCATTGCCATTCATTTATTACTTTTAATTTGCTATAGACTTGAAAATACAGTAACACAAATGTATTATAAATGTGATTACTATGAGCATAAAGAATTGAAAGGAGGGACTAGTCCCCAGAGGAGAGCATGCCAGCGTAGGGGAAAGGCCCACTAAAGGCCCGGGCTGTCTATACTTTCTGGTTTTCCCTTGATTCCGCAGGTGGGTCAGCTTTTCACAAGGGTGGGGGCGCCAGAGTGTCTGCAAAGCTTCAGAGTTATATGTTTCTAGTTAATTCTGCCAAAAACAGGAGTTTTCAAAAGGTAAAAGCAACATGCAGAGCACCAGTCTTTCTTTTGACTAAATGCTGAGTGGTCCTGCCAGTCATTCAATGACCTTACAGAGTCTGTGGTTTGCTGAGCCCTGGTGAAGTTACATCATCATTTAAAAACAGAGGCATGCCTACCAGTATTTTTCAGAAAGTTCAGTGTACATGAGAAGCAGTGTAGAGGAACCTTTGCTATTTCCTTCTTAGCACTGCAGACATGCCTCACGGGATAACATTGTGACCTGAAGGCAAGAGCATGTCAGAAACCTCTCATCTCCTGCACAGAGATGCCTGGAACAGTCATCTGTAGGGTAACAGGAACTCCAAAACCTGGGATTTAAAGCAGATCTCGGAGACTGCCTAATCTGAGCCTGTCCATACAGACGAAAAAACTAAGGCCCCAGAGCAGGAGCTCAGTCACCCAGACTTAAGTGCCAGCTGGCTGGTGCAGGGCTCCCCCTTCCTGCCTGGCACTCCAGTCTCCACAAAAGCCAGGGCTGCGTTAGTTCTGTACCAGTGAATCACACTGAGATGACAGTGACAGATAACTGTGAACACCCACGGTACCATTCTAGCATTGGCATATCACGTAGCTTCCACTTAAAAAAAAAGTTCCTTTCTTCATTACACTCATATGCGTTACAAAAAGCAACTAGGCTTGTAGTTAAAAATTCAATTTCCAATGAAAGCCTTCAGGTAGAGTCTTATTCCCTTCTCAGCCACATCTAGCCGGGACCAGAGACCCCAGGTGGGGACAGGCAGTGGACATTTCTCCTTTGATACCAAGAAGGCCCATGTCCCTGCTGTGCCATATGCAGGAGGTAAGAGATGTGTACACGGAGGGGCTTTTGCCATGGTGCTGGGGTTCTTAGCATCTGGGGGACCTGAGGCTCCTCCTCCCTAATTCCAGCCCACTTTGGATTCAGCATCCAATTTCAAGCCTCATTTAACCTCTGAAGCTCATCTTGACCCAAGGTGATATAAAGACCCTGCAAAATCCTAAGCCTGGCCCTGCCATCTGGGCCTCCATTTCCTTACCTGTCAGCCAAGGAGGTACCTCCTGGAGCCACCATCCACCCCCTGGTTCGTGTCCAGGACTTGGTAGGAGGGCACACCCCAAAAGGATGGTGCCACTGCCCTACTACAAAGTAGACACCCCCTCTTCCACCCACTCCCCCACTCTATCCATCCTGGGAAGAGGGACTAAGTACAGGGTGGTCCAGGGTGGGCAATGGGGGTGAGCATCAAGTGGTATCCCTGCCCTCAGGGTTCCCAGGCCTGGATTGGCACAGGGACTTTCTTGTTTCTCTGCTCACCCATTCCAGGGGACCCACTGGTGTCCAGGAAAGCTTCCAGGCCAGTCCCCATCAATGGCCCTTCCCCAGGCCCGAGGCCTGGCCCTCTGACTTCAAAGCAGGAAGCCATCTCCCTATGGGGCCTTCCATGTCCAGTTGCACTGAACCTTCGTTTCCGTGGCCTTCCCCATGAGGGAAAGGGGAGAGAGGGTTTACAAAAGAAAATCGTCTGGAGGACGATAGTCCGCTGTGGTAGTCGCTCAGTAGCTCTGTGGCCTTACTCAAGTCGCCTAACTTCTCTGGACCTCAATTTCTTGACCTGCAAAATGGGAATACTAGTACCCACCTCGCAGAGTTCCAACGCGGTTTAAATGAGTGAAGACACCGCGCGCAACGCACAGTCAGCGGTCAGTGCGCGTTAATGTCATCGCTTACTTGAGTAAGATTGAGGATCTCCTGCACCTCCCCCCCCCCAGGCCGTTTTCAAGCCAAGGACTCAAATGGCCCAGAAAATTCTCGGTTGCGTCTCTACGGCTGGAGAACCGGGGCGCCGGGACCCCAGACTCGTTCGAGGCCTGCCGGCAGGCGGCGGTTACGTAAGCTGGAGCCGGACGGTCGGCTGTTCGCGCACCCGCTCGGCGCGCCGCGCCACTCACCGCCCAGCAGCGTCGTCGTCTGTCCGTCCGTCAATCCCTCCGTCGGCCGGTCGTTCCGTTTCCCCAGCCCGTGCCGGTCGCCACTGCCACTGCCCAGAGCAGCGCTCGGCCGGGTAACACCGCCGCCTCCGCCGCCGCGGCCGACTCGCCACTGTCACATAGTGGAAAACGTGACCGCGCGCGCCGCGCCCACCCCCGGCGCCTGCCATTGGCCGCGGCACCACCTTATCTGCATACCGAAGGGGCCGGGCCTGCAAGTGTCGCGTGCCCATTGGTGGCGGCGCCCGTCGCTCTTTTTACATAAGACGCACATGGAACTCCATGTTCACTGCATCTGTTCCTCAATGAAGAAGCGGAGCGTTTGTGCCCCCCCCGTCCTCCCGAGTGGTCTCATCCACTTCCGGCGTCGGCGCCTTCCATTCAAGACAGCTCGGGCCCGCGGGCTCGAGGAGCGCAGAGTGGCGCATACCACTGCGGGAGCGGGGGAGCTGGACGCGGGCTCCCTCACACCTCTGGCCCGCCTGGAAGACCGAGAGCCACAGAAGCCCAGGCTCTGGGAGGCTTTCACCCTTGGCGACCGTCTGCAGGCACCGGTCGCGAGAAATTCCCTGCGGACATCCTTCATTCACTCATTCACACTCATTCGCCTATTCACATTCGTTCATCGCTAAGCGCTGGAGCTGTCAAGAGGGAGACAGGACCTCCCCGCAGGAGCTCCTGAAGCCTCCGAAGTGCCTTTGGCTGACACTTGTCCCGTCAGCTTCCAGATGACCTTCCTTATCTTTGAGACTACGTGTTGCAATTTTTGTTTCAAGAAATAGAGTCATTGTTACTATGGGGAGGTAGGAAAGAAATAGAGGATGCTATTCCTGCCCACAAGCGCATCATTAGGGAGAAAGGAATCTTATTCAAATATTAAATTGGGTGGTGTGGATTATAAAATAAGCCAGAGCCAGAGCTATCTTGGTCGGCTCCATGAAGAAGCAGCACTTGGTAGGAGGAGATAGGCATTTGGAAAAGGAGGAGGTCTTCCGAAGGCGCAAGCCACAGAGACATATGGTTGGGGGAGTGGGGAGAAAGTCCCGGGAGACAGCGCTGGACCCTGGGACACCTTGTCTGTTTTTTCAGTAAGCCCCCCAAACTTCCATCTGAAGTGTTAGGAGAGAGAGTAGAACTTCCCCTAGACTGGGTAGAAGCATAAGACTTACTTGTGGGACATGAAACAGCTAGCAGGCTCCCAGGCAAAAGTAGGCTCTGACAGTACAGGGTCCTGGAGCTGAAAGGCTGAAGAGATGTTAGGAGTTGTCCAAGAAGCTGTGGCCAGTAGCATCTCCCTTTGCTCTTCCTATTCTTCTTCCTCAGAGGCTCCTGGAGACAAAGAATGGGACAGAAGGAAAAGTTAGGAACAGGTGGTCTGTAAGAAAACTTACCTGCAGTTTCTGAAGTCAGCTAACCCACATTCAGGAACTCCTGTGGAGTGAGCCACTTCTTTTCCTCCACTCAGCAAAGTGCACATGCAACTTCTCAGATGCTAACCAGGACAAAGACCACGTTCAGGGGGATAGTTCTTCCCATAGAAGCCCCGGGAGACCTGCTGGTGGTTCACACTCCGAGGTCAAGGTGGCTCCTCCTCCTATTCCTCTGACACTGACACCTCGACACACTCCCTGCCTCTTCTCCCTGACACACACACACACACACACACACACACACACACACACACACACACACACACGCCAAGCAAATCCAGGCTCAGCTGCACCCTGCACACATCCAAAGGCCTTTTTGTTTCTTCACTTACATTGACGTCACTGGGGAGCTCCATTGTTCTGGAAACAAGAATAAACAGACAGCTCATCCATACCTCACAGAGATTCTCCTTCACGTTCAACTTTTCCTGGGTCTTGCTCCACATTCAGCTTGTAGGCTAATGTCATATTTCTTCCCTCAAGTTAGCCTTTTCTATTTCTACCAGTAAATCTGATGGAAAGATATTGAAATCAATTCTTTTTGAAATTATCAAATGCTATAGACCTCTTGAATTCTTCAGAGTCTAATCTATTTTCAGTGATTCACAGATAGTTTTTTTTTCTTGTTATTGGAAACTTTCATACACTCTACAAATAACTTGTTGACACTTGAGTATTGGGGATCATGCAAGAATACATTTCACCGGATTGCTGCTTGTAAGGAGTTTGTGATGTAGAAGAGGGAATGAGGCAGATTCAGAGGCATTTTTGTCTAAGATGGGGTGTAAGTCCTGAGAAAACAAGGTGGCCCAGGGCAGAAGCTTCTATCCCTGCTCCTGCAGAGAAGAACACTGTAAGGGGTGGACTCTCGGGGTCGGGTCAAGTTCACGGATGCCATTCTTGCTGAACCAAGATGGAGAGAGAGAGAGGGAGAGAGTCAGGCAGTCAGGTTGGAGAAGGAGGGGGGATGAATCCTTTTCCAACCAGCCCACAGTGACCAGCTGGTACCTACAGCACAGAGGTACAGCTGTGCCAATAGCACACTGTGAATTGCTATTGGCACAGGGGAGGCAGGCAGGCCAGAAGAAAGTCAATCCTACAGTTAAGGGTGAGGGTGGGGTGGTGAGCCAGGGTCCCCAGCTACCTGGGGATTGCTATTGGTGTAAGAAGTGGCCTCTGATCTCAGCTTCACCCTGCCTCCCCACTAACCGCTGCTCTCCCCCGCCCTGCCCATTCCCACCAGCGTGTATTTCCACTAATGAACCTGGCCCAAGTCAGCCCTGTCCATCCATGTCTGGGAATGGGCCTGGAGGGCCCCTCTGCACCTGAACCTCTATGCCCTTGCCAGTCCACTCACTGCCAGTCCGCTCATTAGCTCTTGCACCCAGTCAGCCAGCTCCTTACTGAGCAACTACTAAGTGCCAGGTGCTGTGTTGTCACTGTTTTTCTTTCATTGTGGATCACCTGGTTTGTGAGTTGGCTAGCTGGAAAGACAAAGGACAGGGGCTAGGAAGAGAATTACCTCGGTAAATGGTGTTGCTGGTGGCCAGCAAAGTCCTCGCTAGGGAGATGAAAGGGATACTGCCAATAGTTCAGGCTCCCTAACCCCAGAGCTTCCTAGGGTTCGGTTCTAGGGAAATTGGAGACGGTAGTTCATGACCCTCATGCTCCAGCCTCCCTTGTACCCAGTGCTGATCCACGGCTGACCTCAGCTTGGAACAGTGGTAGATCCTGGCAGGAAGACCCTCAGAAGCTTCCAGAGGTGAGCCCAAGGGTGTGGGCAGCTGTGTTCAGGGCCTTAAACAGGATGAGAAAAAAGCCATCTGCCCCTAGTAACCGGGAAGGCTCTGATCCAGGCACATGAAACAAGGGCAGGTGCCCATCCCTGGGTGGTCTGTGGACCAATATAAAGAATGTATGTTTATCATGCTAGCTATCTACCAGGAAGAGTTTTTAGAATTTTTCTTTTTTCTTTCTTTCTTTTTTTTTTTTGAGTCAGAATCTCACTCTGTTGCCTAGACTGGAGTTCAGTGACACGATCACAGCTCACTGCAGCCTCAAACTTCTGGGCTGAAGAGATTCTCCCGCCTCAGCTTCCTGAGTAGCTGGGACTACAGGTGTGTGCCACCACACCCAGCTAATTAAAAACTGTTTCTTTTTCCAAAGAGATGAGATTTTGCTATGTTGCCCAGGCTGCTTTTGAACTCCTGAGCTCAAGCACTCCTCCTGCCTCAGAATGCTGAAGTACTGGAACTACAGGTGTCAACCACCGTGCTTGGTCAGTTTTGCTTTTTTTTTTTCTCTGAATTTTTGTTTTTTAAAGATGTAGGGTACAATTCAGGGTTAGGTATACAAATGTTCATTATGCATGTACCCTTGTTGATGAGGTGTGCCCCCCTCATTTTGCTTTTTAAAAAAATATTATGCATACTCACAGTGGACTTTTAAAATCCATAGCAATTGTTATTACTTTTAAAATATCTCCCCCATATAAATCTAATCTATTTTTTTGCAGGTCTGCAAATAATTGAAATTGCCACATTTTTTCTTTGCTATGCAATACTCTGTATAGACTTGCATAGACTTTGATTTATTATTGTAACCTTTATTTTGTTTTTTTTTTTGTAGAGATGAGGGCTTGCCATGTTGCCCAGGCTGATCCTGAACTAGTGGGCTCAAGCAATCCTTCTGTCTTGGCCTCCCAAAGTTCTGGGGTTACAGGCGTGAGCCATGGTGCCTGGCCCATTCCTTTATTGTATCTCAAGACAAAAAATATAAATTAATCAAATAATTAGTGCCCCAAGATTATGCCTTTTTAATGTTGTACATCTCTTCTTTACTGCTACAAGAATTCAATAATTAAATATGTACCTAACTGACTTATCAGTTTTGCAAATATAAGGCATGGATTTTTGTTTATTTGTTTGTTTTTGTTTTGTTTTGTTTTGAGCCAAGGTCTCACTCTGTTGCCCAGGTTGGAGTGCAGTGACATGATCACAGTTCACCACAGCTTCAACCTCCTGGGCTCAGGTGATCCTTCTGCCTCAGTCTCCCAAGTAACTGGGACTACAGGCGTGTGCCACCACACCCAGCGAATTTTTTTTTGGCAGAGACGAGGTCCTGTTACATTGCCCAGGTTAGTCATGAACTCCTGGGCTCAAGCAATCCTTCCTCTTCAGCCTCCCAGAGTGCTGGGATTACAGGTTTGAACCACCGCTCCTGGCCAACATAGTTTTGACTGAAGCCAAAAAGCTATTTGTTATTATTTCTCTTATGGGTAAAAACTTCAACCTTTCAACCTTTCTCATGATGTCATTAAAAGAAAAACCAAGAGTTTAACCGAGATGAAAACTGTGTCCTTTGGTGGGGGAGGGGAATAGCAATGGGTAGTAATGCCACAGGGTGCTTATGGTTTCAGTTGCAGGTCAAATCTTTATCTCAAGAATGTGTAGGCTCACTGTAGATCAGGTTGTCTGGTCTCTGGCAGCTTGAGTCCCTTCCAGAGGTTCTGGGACACCAATGCCCCTCACTGCACTGAAATGGCCCAAGGAAAGGCAGCTTGCCAACAAGGCCCACCTCATCTGAGGTGATTCCCCACACCCAAGATGATTTTTTCCAACTGAGGTTATTCCCACCCCTGTG